TATTCTACAAAATATTAAAATGTTCTTGAGTGAGAAAAATCTCAAATTTTGTTATTTATCATGGGCAAACAACGTCGCGCCAAAATCTAGCGACGAGCATTTTACGAATCCATGAAAAACAATCTTCAAATCCACCAAGAGACAACCCCATATTAATACAAAGGTAAACTTTATTAATCAAAAGCAATTATTTACCTATAAGTTTTACCGTCCTTCTTCTTGAATGGAATAACATAACCTACTCCTAATATAAATAGAATTCCTAAATAACAGAACATCTCTTTAAATTCTCCTAATTACAGAGGAACCGAATCGGTCCAACATGAGTCAAATTTGAATTTATTTCCTACCATAAATAGACTTTAACCTATTGCTAAAAATACTGAAGCTAATTATTTTTTTGATTTCTCCTAGAAACGGGCATTCATGGATTATTGGAAATTTTGGCTCTGTCTCGTCGAGATATTTATATATATATATATTACATGTCTACTCCTACTTTTCAGATTAGAAGATATCTTTTTTGAGATCAAGTTAACAATGCAATCGTATCTGTATTTAACTCATAACAATCTCACTTTTTCATAAATTTATTTGTTATGTGTCCTGCATCGTTAGTTTTTTCACTCAAAGAAAATTTTAGCTATTTACAAATTGTATCTAGAGGGTACAATGGGAAAAGGTTAAAGTTCCCGCATGTTTTGTGCGGTACCTGAAACTTCAGTGGATTTACGTGAGATAAAAAGTTTATAGGACCTAAGTGAAACAACCTCCAAAGTTTAGGGGTTATGTACAATTAATCCAATTTTTTAGTCTTGGGTTGGGCTGGTCCCCAAAGCAAGTACGAGAAAAATTAAATAAATGGAAATTACTGGAAAAAAATAATAAAATAGAATGAAAGGGGAAGATGTAGATGAGAATTCCGAGTAGATCGCACGTATCTTGCTCAAAAGGTCGGTGACTCCACCCCCGCTTGTACAGCTCATCGTGCATGGTCGACTCAGCCGTGTTCCGCGTTTTCTTGTTTATTCACAGAACCCCTTGACTTCATTTATTATTTTTAATTTTATTTTGGAAAATGTGATTCTTTTTTGGAAAAATTGCTTCTAGGCCCCAAATTTATATTTTCAATATGCTCTAACCCCTCCTACTTTTTTTAATGTTCTTTAGCCCCTCCTTTTTGAAAAAAATATGGCCAAGCCCCTCCATCATGATTCCAACGCATTTCAGCACTTGATTAGACATGCCAGCTCATGATTAGACATATCAGCTGATTTAAATCCCGAATTTACCCTCATCTTTCTTATGTCAGTGGATGTTAACTCTTTTCTGTAAAATGTTAACTCTTTTATGTAACATGTTAACTCTTTTCGGTAACATGTTAAGTCTTTTCTATAAAATGTTAACTCTTTTCTGTAACATGTTAACTCTTTTCTGTAAAATGTTAACTTTTTTCTGTAACATGTTAACTCTTACAGATAACATGTTAATTCTTACAGCTAACATGTTAACTCTAACAACTAACATGTTAACTCTTACAGCTAACATGTTAACTCTTACAGCTAACATGTTAGCAGTAAGAGTTAACATATTAGCTGTTAGAGTTAACATGTTAGCGGGAGGCGGGGGGGGGGAGGAGGTGTAGGGGGAGGGGAGGGAGGCGGGGCGGAGGCAGAGGGGGAACGGAGGAGGAGGAGGGGTGTGTAGGGGAGGGTAAAATGAGGATTGTGTATAAAGTTTACATAGGAACTTGGGGAGAGGGGCTTTTAATAATTTTTTTCAAAAAGGTGGGGCTGCAGCACATGTTTGAAAGTTAGGGGGGCTAGAACATATTGAAAATATAAATTTGGGGCCTTGAAGCAATTTTTCCTTCTTTTTTTCTCGTTAAAAATATTTGAAAATATCATTTAGGTTTAGGATTAATATCATGAAGGCTGAACTATGTTTCTTATAAGTGTAATATTACGTAGCAGATCCCAAAATTTGGGACAAATTAAGTTTGTATTATTGTTATGTAACATGTTTTGAAAATCTATTTTTTTTTTGGGTTTTTATTGTTAAATGGTTAGAAAAGTGTTTATTTCATTTAAAAAATAAAGAAAGAAAGAAAAGAAAGTAAATGAGGAAAGGCAAGAGCAAGTAGGCGTATAATAATATTTCAAAACGAGATCGTCATGTACATGAATAAGATCGATAAATGTTGCCAAATTTGTTTGGCCAAACTTATATTGAATAATATAACATTTCTGATCACATTGCCATGTTTTATACGTATTTACTAAGCTTGTTATGTATGGTTGTTTTCCATTTTAATATAATTTTTTCGAATTTTAGTGGATGGCCGAATTTACCTTTCCCCCTTCAAAGGAGGACAGCTTAAATAATAAATAAAATTTGAAAAGTCACCTTGCTTAAGGCGATAAGCTAGCAAGTAAAAGTTACCACTCAGCCGATGAAAGAAAATTGTGGGCCCGGAACGAGATATCATGGGCGTACTGTAGCAGTTGAAGTTTAACGTAGGCCGTACTACTTAGTTACGTTGCGTGCTAGGGGTACGTTCTGTCCAAATAAGGCTCGATACTTATCATATCCATAGTCAGTTACCCATTTTGGATACGGATACGAATACGAATATATCTCAATAAGGAACATTCATATCCATATCCGCTAAAATTGGATATATATACGGATATACATGCATGTATAAGCGGATGTGCATACGTATACAAAACGGATATGAGAAAATTAAAATTGGATATAGATACGGACATACATGCATATATATAAGCGTATGTGCATACGTATACAAAACGGATACGAGAAAATTAGACAGTATTAAAAAATATAGCTCATGTAATACAAAAAAGTTCATTAATATGTTCATTATATCTGAAAAGCTAAAATTAAACATCTTGATCATCAAAATTAACCTCAAATCTATAATTTAAGGATTAAGACTGCCGCAACACTATAACTAATATTTATTTGGATATTTCAAATAAGGATCCGGATATTTTACTATAAAATCATATCCGTATTCATATCCTGTCGATTATAAATTTGAGTAACCATATTTATATCCTAATGGATACAGATATGTTCTCGAATATGGATATGATTTGGCACCCGTATTGCGTGACCTTTCAACATGAGCAAATCTTTTTAATTGGGCACGATATTGCCGATATTATTATAAAATAAAGAGAGAGAGAGAGAGATTGCGTGACCTTTCAACATGAGCAAATCTTTTTAATTGGGCGCGATATTCCCGGGATTATTATAAAAGAGAGAGAGAGAGAGAGAGAGAGAGAGAGATTACTGAGAGATTACCTAGATTAGAATTTAAGACCCTGAATTATTTTTATACAGTATCCTAATGGAGGTCGAGATTAGCCATGTTACCAACTTGTTCTTGTTTCTTCTGACATGTTACAACTTGCTAGATTAGCATTATCATTTAATCAGACATCATAACCAAATGATTTTTTAAATAAAGAATTAATCAAACTTACGACGGAGATGTGAGTTAACCCAAAAGGTACTAATATAAAATTCATCATTTTACACTGGGTTAGAAAGAGAAATCAGATCTGATTCAATCCGAGTGCCTTCACTTCACTTTAATATGTTGAGTTATTTTCAAAACTTTTATTAATTAATTGCCCCCCAAGTGAGAAGAATGCTCAAATCTCTCATTGGGTCTCTTTTAAAACAACTTTCAATCTCCTTTTAACTGCACTTTTTATCCTCACATCTTTTCAACATAACCAATCAGGAGCAGCTTTATTCCAAATCAAACTCCTATTGTTGCCTGTCTTGTTGCTCTCAAAGTACCAATTATTGCAGTCAACTACCCTTTCGTTCCCTTTCAATGAATGTTGCAATTTGCATATATATTCTCCAACGAGATCACCCTGTCCCAGGATAGCTATCACACAATGATAATACTTGTCACTTCTGAAGTGAGTTGCATATACAAGCAAAATGCATCAAATTAATTGAGGATAGACCAAATGTAGTATATTGGCAACGCCTGATAGTTCTATTGTTGCAGATAGACCCCTAACTGAAATTTTTGTTAGACTCTTTCAACATCAGATAAAGAGTTTCTTTTTATTTATTTATTAGTATAAATATTCTTCCGGGACGTAAAAGAATCCAAGAGTTCACTCTAAAGGTCCATCTACAACAATAGAACTACAATGGGTCTATCCGCAATTAAGCGATAGCACAGGAGTCCATCCGCAATTAACCCTTCTTAACAACACAATTGAAGTCGAACCATGAACTGCCAGTGAAGTGTAACATACAAGATCTCAAAGTAGTCACTACTAGACCATTAAGAGAGCAACATCACTGAAGTGACAATAAGGATACCTTTTCACTTCAATTTGATCAGAATTGAGCTGCACATAACCAATATGGATCACATTAACTTTCATACAAACACACCACAATGATTCTCAATAACGCAATTGCATTCAGATAACAGACTAGAACTAAAATCTAACATTAGCTTCCAGTATCTCAAAGCGCACGGAAAAGCATAAGCTCTTCCGTCAGATACGATATCATACTTTGAACACCCTGAATCTTTTAACAACAGTAACATCAATATAGTTCACTCTCCTTGTGAGTGTGAATCACACAATCAGAGGTAGGATATGAAACACAGGTCAGCACATATCCTTTCTCCATCTGTGATTCATCGAGGAAAGATCCATCAGATTGGTCGACAGAGCCGCTCATTATTTGTCCCGCGCATGTTGAGCATGCCCCAGCTCGGCAAGAGTAAGGCAGTTCCAACCCCACCGCCTCAGCTGAGTCCAGGATGTAGGCATCATCTGGGGCCTCGAACTCATGCACCTGCCCCTCTGGCCCCACGAGCTTCACCTTGTATGTAGCCATAGCAGTTGCTCTAAAACAGCTTGGCGACTTCAGGCCAAATGCTTTTAAGTTGTTCTTAGTACTAAATCCTAGGGATGAAGGGCCCTTGATGAGGGCAGATGGGCCTCGGATTCTCATGTGGGTTTTGATGGTGCAGGAAGTTGGGACTGAAACAGTCGACATTTTAGGGAAACCTGCTAAGCCAAAAACTTAAGGGATTAGAGAAGGTCATACTCAAAAGTTCACCATGGCCAGCAGCCCAGGCTCATTTTGTTAAACAATTTCACTCATAAAACATGACAGATTTATCTTTAGTCCAGGTTTCATTTTTATTTGTTGTCCCTGTATAAAAATGGTTATCACTAGTAGCTTAGTAAGCATTTAAATAAACGAGTAGGAAATCTTCGTACATGATTATCCCTACATCACGATTCTACAAAAGATGAATTTGGAATTAGGAATATCTAAAATTTTCGTAACACAGTCTACTAAATTCCCGATCTGATATATAAGCGTCAACGGATATATGGCATGTCCAAGAATTAAGATCGAAGGGTGAGGGGATAACGAAGGTTAAACATGTTTCCAGCATCACAATAGGACTGAACACATACCCACACCACATCCGCATGGACATGCACACATACATACAACCCCAACAAGGACCCACACATGCATGTGCACGTCTACCCACCCAAGCAACCAAATACACTCACATTACATACACATAAAAGAATAACTTTGCAGCATGTGTTATATGCAGGACATGAATGAGTAACACTGGCTTCTGCAACTTGACTTTTGGGCGGTCCTTGTATAACAATATGTAATATACAAGCCAATAATTACAACCATAATATAAAGCAACAAACAAAATCCACTTCTGCTGAACATTGAATTGGGTATCATGCACACACATGTAATATGAAAATTTTCGGCTTCGAGTTAGTGAACAATGATGCCAGCAAGTGGCAAAGCTACTTTATGTTCCACAGAATCAGCCATACATATCAGCTCTTCTGAAGTCAGAATCATCTCTAATGGGTCTTGAGAGAACAAGCACAGAAGGTTTCAGAATTTAGAGAAGGTTTAGATTTCAACAGGAAATTAAGATTCAAGGCCAGATGACAATCCTGCTGGCATTCAAGTACTGAAACATAGGCAACAGTTCACTAGGCATTTGAGGGGTGTATGAGATTGCACAATCCTTTCAATTTCTCTGCATAAATCACCTCACAGGGAAGGTACTGTAGAAAGTGGGCAAGATAGATTCAAACGTAAACGTAAACAAAAACATACCTGTGACAGTGAGGACACTAAGCCACCAACTGCACCGATGGCCAGAACCTCAAGCTCAGTAGAAAAGAAGAAAGGAGGAAGTTGAAGTATTGAGTGATGAAGATGTTGTACAGATTGCTGAATCTGATTATGAAAGTGTTGACGCATGTGATTAAAACTGGAATAATACAGATATATAACAGCAAAAACTGAACAGAAAACTAAAGTGTAGTAATTTAATATTTTTCAACTCAGCTGCTGTGCGTTTGTAAAACGCTGTGCTTAAAGCATTATTTGGCCGTGCAAGGATCCCAAGGCCAAATTGCTGCCAGGAATAACAGTCCAGTACTCTGGTGTGCACCGACCCAGTACTGTCAAGATCTCCTCGATCTATAAGGCAAAGATCTCCTCAATCTATCAGGCAAAGATCTCCTCGATCTATCAGGCAAAAGATCTCCTCGATCTATCAGGCAAAAGATCTCCTCGATCTATCAGGCAAAATTCCTATAAGCACCAACTATTTTACAATCTATATATGTATATATTGATTGTTGTTTTTGGAATAAATTTTCTTTAAGGATTTGGAGTCTATTTATAGTGTTTGGGAAAACACTATGCACTAATAAAATATTATTAGTTACTATTCATGTGGGGCCCACGCTCTTAAATTTCTTCGGTGGGGCCCACCACTTTTTACATTTTCAACTTTCAGCACCGCCCTTTGAAACTTGTTAACACCACGTTTTCATTTTTTGTCAAAAAAAAAGTTAGGCTAAAAAGGTTTGTGGGACCAACTAGTTTTAAAAATTATCTAACAATCCCCCACAAGTTTTTAAAACTAGTATCGTATAATGGTGCCGTCGTTTTTATCGTTGTGCATAAGGTAGATGTCGTAAGGACTTGAATCCCCTTTAGACCAACTGAATAAAAGATAGGTGCATGGTATCGTAGAGACTTGAACCAGCACATGTCTAAAAATTTAGCGATCACACAATATCAAACTCTTCTGTGGTAGTTTTCACTTTGAACCATACTTGCATTTACCTTTGCCTTTGCCTTTGCTTTGCATTGCACATTTATGACCCTGTGCATGTCCTGATTTCTGCTAGGGCTCTAGGTATCTTTCCACAAGACACCATAGGAGACGGCCAAATCTCTACCCATGCATAGGTGAGTTCTTTAGGTATGTTTCCTATCAAACATCCCGCATCCGAAATGCTTTAAACTCATTAAGGCTTAAGAGCCACCCTCTCTCATGATAGGATTCTAGGTGAGTCCTTTAGGTGTGTTTCCTATCTAACACCCCGCATCCGAAATGCTTTGGACTTATTAAGGCTTAACAGTCATCCCCTTTACATGATAGGATTCTAGGTGAAAAGATCAAAGTTTTACTCGAATAGTTCAGCCAGGTAAGGATAGTATTAGAGGTTGATCAAATATCAATTAAGTACCTCGTTCCTTGCGGAGCGCATTACGCAACCCCCAAACCTTACCTTAGACACCGACTAATCCAAGAAAACTTGAATCCTTTCACTTGTAAATCTTACTTAACTTTTGAACCATTTATCTTGTCAGTAGTAGCATAAGCTTTGAACTAATAACTTGATGTAAATGGTAAGTATTTATAAGACTACCAACTTTGCAAATCTTACTTGACTTTTGAACTAATTATTTTATTATTAGTAGCATAAGCTTTGAACTAATAATTTAATAAACATAGTAAGTATTTGTAAGACTTACAAAACTTTGAGATCCATTTCAGCAGACGTTCTTTCGACTATGTCCTTTTTCAGACCCTTAGTCAAAGGATCAGCCACATTCTCTGAAGTTTGGACGTTAATCACAAATATGACTCCTTGACAAATGAGCTCTCTCAAATAGCCATGCTTCAGACGAATGGTCCGCTTCTTTCCATTGAACATCGAGTTTGCTGCCACAGCACTCGTCGCCTGATTATCACAATAGATAGTAATTGCACCTTGCAATTCCGTCAATGGAAGGTCTCGAAGAATACAACTGAGCCGCTCAACTTCATCTCCTGCAACACAGAGTGCGAAGAATTCAGATTCCATCGATGACTGTGCAATCATGGTCTGCTTCTTAGACTTCCACGAGATGGCAGCTCCACCCATAGTGAAGACAAATCCTCTAGTAGATCTGCACTCATCTGGTTCTGAGCACCAGCTCGTATCTGAATAGCCTTCGATTACACCTGGATATCCAGTGTAGAATAGGCCCAGACCTGTAGTTCCTTTCAAGTATCTCATCAATCTCTGGACAGCTCCAGTGTAGAATAGGCCCAGACCTGTAGTTCCTTTCAAGTATCTCATCAATCTCTGGACAGCATCCCAATGAAGCTTTCCAGGATTACTTGTGAACCTACTAAGCATTCCTACAACGAATGTTATATCTGGCCTTGTGTAGCTCATCGCGTACATAAGACTTCCAATGATCCTTGAGTATCTCAGCTGCTCTACTGATCTTTCAGTGTTCGGTCGAAGCTTCTTGTTGTAAGCATATGGTACTGACAGTTCTGACAGGTCATAGTAGCCATACTTCCTTAGCATGCTCTCAACATAATGAGATTGGGACAATCCAATACCCTCTTCAGAGTATATGATTTTGATTCCGAGTATCACGTCCGTAGTTCTAAGGTCCTTCATGCTGAACTGTGCTGAAAAAAATTTCTTGGTAGATATTACTATCTTCAAATCACTCCCGATGATGAACATATCATCCACATAGAAGCAGATGATCACTATCTTTCCTTCAGCGACCTTGATGTATAGGCACTTATCAGATTCACTGACTTGATACCCATTGTTGCGAACAACGCCATCGAACTTCTCATGCCAGAGTTTTGGTGCCTGCTTAAGTCCATATAATGACTTAAACAAGTTTACAAACCTTACCAGCTGGAGCATCAAGTCCCTCTGGTTTCTCCATGTAGATTTCTTCTGTGAGATCTCCATTGAGAAAGGCATCTCCATTAAGAAAGGCAGTCTTCACATCCATCTGATGTATGACGAACCTTTTAATCGTCGTCCATGCGATAAGCACTCTGATGGTAGTGATCCTGCAAACCGGTGCATAAGATATCAAAAAAATCTATACCTTCTTTCTGAGAGAATCCTTTTGCCACTAGCCTTACTTTGTAGTTTTTAATAGTACCATCAGGACGGAGCTTCTTCTTGAAGATCCACTTGCAACTGATAGGCCTTGCACCTTCAGGTACATCCACCAGCTCCCAAGTGTGATTTTGGATTAATGAATTCATCTCATCATCTATAGCTTCTTTCCATAGAAGAACGTCTGTTGACTGCATTGCTTCTTGAAAAGTCTGTGGATCTCTTTCCACATTATAGGTGATGAAGTCATTTTCAAAATCTTTCTGTCTTCTGACGTGCTTGGAAGATGGTTCGATAACTCCTTCATCATTGACTAGCTCCTCTTGTGCATCTGATATACTAGCATTCTCTGCTACATCTTTGAGCAGTAAGCCTTTATGTTTGATAAACTTATCCTTAAAGAATTCTGCATCCCGAACTTCAATGATGGAGTTGGTTCCAAGGTCCAGGAACCTGCACGCATTGCTATCTCCAGCAAACCCAAGAAATACACATTTGTTTGCCTTTAGTCCTAGCTTAGGCCTTCTGATATCTGGTATTCGAACGTATGCGAGACACCCCCACACTTTGAGATTATCCAAAGATCTGGATATCCCAACAACAACTGATGAGGAGTATTATCAGTTTTGAAGTAGGGTACTCTGTTCAGAATTCAGTTTGCTATTAGCAAAGTCTCTTCCCAATAGCAGGTAGGTAAACCAGATATGATTAGCATCGAATTCACCATCTCGGTCAATGTGCGATTCTTCCTTTCTGCAATCTCATTGGATTGTGGAGAATACGGAGCAGTAGTTTCAGTAATGATTCCATGCTCCTTGAAGTATGCTTCTGATTCCTTAAATCGATACTCTCCTCCTCTGTCGCTCTTGAGTCTTTTCACCTGAAATCCAAGCTGCTTCTCCACTCGAGTCCGAAACTCGACAAATTTGCTGAAGGCTTCATCTTTAGATTTTAGCAGGTAAACATGACAGAAGCGAGAATAGTCGTCGATGAAGGTGATGAAGTACTTCTTGCCGCCACGAGTGACGAAGCTCTTGAAGTCACAAGTATCTGAATGAATCAGATCCAACAGGTTGGTGCTCCTCGTGACACTTGAAAATGGCTTCCTCGTCAGCTTTGCTAGCGCACAAACTTCACACTTCTCAGGTTTGTTACCCTCACATTTTGAAAGTAATCCTAACTTCTCCATGCTAAATAGTTTTCTATAATTTACATGTCCCAGGCTATTGTGTCATAACACAGAGGAGTAAGCAGAAGAGGATACTTTATTTACAACGGGGTTGGGTGCACTCGTACTGATTTTATACATGCCATCAGTACGATATGTATTGCCAAAATACATTTTCTTGAAGGATAATACAGCCTTTCCTCCTTGGAAATCCAGCCTCATGCCTGCATCACACAGCATGCTTCCAGAGACTAAGTTTTTGGCAATTGAGGGTACATGTTTCACATCCTTCAATGTGAGAGTCTTTTCTGAAGAAAGAGTCAGCACCACAGTCTCAGTTCCAAGAACAGAAACCACAGAACGACGGCACCATTACACGACACTAGTTTTAAAAACTTGTGGGGGATTGTTAGATAATTTTTAAAACTAGTTGGTCCCACAAACCTTTTTAGCCTAACTTTTTTTTTGACAAAAAATGAAAACGTGGTGTTAACAAGTTTCAAAGGGCGGTGCTGAAAGTTGAAAATGTAAAAAGTGGTGGGCCCCACCGAAGAAATTTAAGAGCGTGGGCCCCACATGAATAGTAACTAATAATATTTTATTAGTGCATAGTGTTTTCCCAAACACTATAAATAGACTCCAAATCATTAAGGAAAATTCATTCCAAAAACAACAATCAATATATACATATATAGATTGTAAAATAGCTGGTGCTTATAGGAATTTTGTCTGATAGATCGAGGAGATCTTTTGCCTGATAGATCGAGGAGATCTTTTGCCTGATAGATCGAAGGGATCTTTGCGTGATAGATCGAGGAGATCTTTGCCTTATAGATCGAGG